ACACTGCATATATATACTAGTAACGAGCACCGCGCAAGGCGCGGTGCCCAGCTCGATGCCGGTTACCGACTATTTGTGTTCGATCAAAAGATCGTATTATGAATAATGTGGACAATTCCCAATTCGCACTAAACACAATTTGCAGAAATTAAAGAAGACTAACATAAATTTTCTTATGAAATAAATAGCTATTTCAACTGTCAAATGTTTGCATTAAATGTTTGCATTCACAGAAAGGCATCCCCGTTGATAGCTAGGCGAAATTATCAAAATATGAAGGGCATGGGTGCTAATACACAACCATTTTATGAAAAAGAAACATCTGAATGTAATCAGCAATAAGCAACCAAAAACAAGCACTTTTGTTTTAGCTTTCTTTTCAATATGAATTTACAAAATATCTGCTTTATTGTCTATTATAATTTGGTCAGTGAAGAACACTAACATAGGGTCTCTATGCATGAAACATTTTTTATTTTTTTTAAAACTCTATGCATGAAACATATAACACAGAGCATGGTGAGAGGAGAAATAAAAAAAAAAAAAAAAAAAAAAATCTGGGAAAACAGAATCTTTTAGTGCTGACAGGAGGAAAAATGGCTGAAATATAACAAAGACAAAAAAATTTGAGTCCACCTCATTCGATAGAATTCCGAAGCATGGAACGAAGTCTGGTTGGCTAGAAGCGCGACGCCTAATTTTGGACGGAAACAGGGAACTCAGAAAACCATATTTTTTTATTTTTTTTTCTTTAGTGGAACCGATCTTGCCGTAAGAAAAAAAAAAAACAGGAGCAGCAAAGAAAATGGCTGATTGACATATATTTGCATAATTTTTGGAAGAGAAATGGAGAGGTGAAAAAAAAGGCACAAAACCTGTATATTTTTGAATTATCCAATCTTCGATGTGGTCGAGAAGGGGCCGAGGTGGAAAAAAAGTAGGTGAAAGCCGTCGGAACGTGGCCTACCATGTGTATCAGTGGAAGGGGTGGCCGCGGCGAGAATCGAACAAAGCGGCGTCTAGCATGTATCTGACTTTGCTTTTCTAACCTCAACAATAAGCATAGAAGGGGCATTCTGAAAAACCTATTCAAACACATAATATACCTCAGCTAGCATGCAAAAATACAAGTGATTTTTTAAAAGAAGAGTTAGTTATACAATAACATACCTCAGTAACAACATTAAGATAACATTTTCTCTCAAGCTCTCAAGTTCTGAAGCCCCATATGCAAAGACTAAATGAAAATTTAATCAAAACAAATCAGTAAAAGGGTTGTTGAACTATTTCCAAATTCCAACAAATCTCTCCACCATGAGATCCTGGGGAAAAGCTTTGCCATAGCATCAAAAGCACGAAGAAGCCTCCAGTTTCGACCCATGTCAACTGCCGTCTCACCATATCCGCTCCTTCATAGCTTCTACTTCCTGCCCTTAACCAGTCTACAGCAAAACTTGCAAAATATTAAAGACTGAAGAGGCACCTCTACCTACAGCATTTTTCACTGAACATGAAATTCAAAACAATTAAGCAGAACACACACTCAAGAGAGTGAATGATAGTGGAATACAATATTCATAATAGAGCAACTTTAAGTAGGCGAATATAAGGCAAATAGATATATCCAGAGATAGTAGAAAATTGGAGGCAGTGGAAATAAACATCCAAGGCCAGAAATAGAGAAAATATCAAATAAGAAAGGTAACATATGGGCGCAAGGAAGAACAAACAAGACCGGCAGAACAATGTGAACGAGCAGGACAACAAGACTGCAGAAGGCGCAGCAAAGGCAGAGAAAATCCCAGTGAGATCGTGAATCGTCGAAAAATCTGAAGAATGCAATAGGAATAACTTACAATCCCGCAAAACACTATGGCAAACAAGATCAGTAGTTGGCAAAACTGAAGACGGAGAAGATAGGCAGGAGCCACTTTGCTAATTGAACTAAAAATATATCAGGGGAAAGAAAAAAGAAACTGACTTCTTGATTCTTTTCTCCAAGAAATTTTCCTCTAGACGTTAACCGTACTTGCAGCGTTTATAGGACATTTTGAAGTACTGAGATTGGAAGCCTTGATATTGTTGTATAAACAGTTTCCATAAACCGACGAGTCATCAGGACAGTCACCGGCGTTTATTTCCACCCATTGAAGCAGGAAAATGATGAGCACACATATTTCAGGCATGAAATCAGGTACGTCGATAATTTTCATAATCAAATTAAAATTCAGCATCAAAATTGATGATCAACAACTATTATGCTGTCGGTCAATACATAATCTGCAGGACACACACAAAACACAGAAAGAACCAACATATAACCTGAGCTAGATATGAACCGCAATCAAATCTACTTCTGGCGGTGAGCCATGTTTCAGGAAAGTGTGATTTTCTTGAATGTTTGGTAAAGAAGGAATCATCGCAAGTGCTAAGAAGGTACATCTTTCCATAGCAGTTTTCTGTATGAAAGAGGGAATTATTTGGGGCATCTTGGAGGCATGCCAGCAGTGCCTGGAATATTCAATTTCAGATAATCTTTAAATTTCGATAAAAGAGGATTGGAGTGAAAAGAGAAGAACGGATGGACATCGTTCTTCAGTCTTTAGTGATTCGATAAAGATTATAGGAAATCCAATTCAGGCCCGGGAACTTGCACCCACATAGAAGAACCAAAATTGGAAGCAAAATCGAGAAATATTCAACAGCGATTCAGCAATTGTACGCAACGAGTGAGCATGAAGAAGCAAGAGAAGAAAAAAATCGAGAATAAAAGGAAAGAGAAAAGAAGAAGCAAAAAGGTCGATCATACATATCGTGAAAAGAAGGGCAAAGAAATTTAGCGCCTAGAATCGGAAGTCCTTTTTGCAACAAAAGTTCAAATATATCCGTGCTAGAAAGCTTTGATTCTACCTCATAAAACTACTGTTACCTTTTGAACTTCATCCGTCCTACTGATTATCTGTTTTGCTCATGCGAGGAACTTAAATTTTTCATGCACACAGATTGAGCCACCACGATAAGAAACACCCTGAAAAGTTAATCAATCATGTAAACGGGAAAGTTTTACGAAAAAAAATAGCTTTTCATTAACTCATTAGATGTAAAGTGCAGCACATATGCTATTTTTTGGAGTCCATATGCACGTAGATGCTCCCTGTGGCGAAGCGATATGGATAAATCGAGAGGCCTATAGTTCACCTGCACAAGAAATCGAATAAAACAATGAGAAGAGCGCCAAGTAGAATGTAGAGAATCAAGACACACGGAACAAGGGATTGATAATCTTACATGTGCATCTTCATTCACTGAGGCAAGTCTCTTCTTTAGAGTCTGATTTGATATCATTATCAACTTCATCATAATTTGAAGTTAAAACGAGTTTTAGAGCTTACATGGAAATAAATTAAACATATATCCTTTTATTAGCCCTATTTTTTGTTCGGCTAGCTTCTTAGTTTACTCAGGGATATATTAAACAAGTTTTTTTCCTTATTTGACCTGCCACATCGTACAGTCACAAAATTTTAAAGAAGTGACTACCAGGATGTAAATGGAAAATTGGGAGGAAGAAAAAAAAAAGAAATTTCCTATTTCAAATTAGAGTATTGGAAAACAGATAGATATCTAGATTGCCTTAAATCTTGTAATCATGTCAATATCGGCGGTCAAGTGATACTAATAATATTAATCAAACCTAATCTAGATCCCTGTTAGAAGCTAATAAGATTAAAAAATACATATGATATCAATAATTAATCAAACCTTGGGGCTTGTTGGAGGAAAATGGGAAGCATGCATCCCATTTTTAAAAAATACATATGATATCAATATTATTTTTCGGTCCAATAATACAATTGAATTTTCATTACATTATTCAATATTCTTATCTTGGTTAATCTTATCTTATGAACCAAACAATGCGTAAGAAAACTAACCCGTTTTTAAACAGAAAAAACAAAGTAAATAGACCAAATACCTGCACAGGGTTTGCTGCGATAAGACTACCACCTATTGCACTTCCAATCATATGGCCATCAGGACTACACACAGAGATGTTGATGTCACTGTCCGAATGTGGGGCCTGCCATTTTCCGAGAGCAAGTACGAACCGGACAAGCACAGTATCTCAAAATGACCCTATTTATTTAGAAATAGCAAGTCAGAACATAAAATAATGATAGCTCGAACAAAAGGACACACGATAAAATAGTTACTTACAATCAACATGGACAATCTAGGACTGAAAAATAACCTTCAACTTTAAAGCCTCACGAAACCAAAAAAGTCTATTCAAATTATTAGAAACGAAGCTGTAGCCGAACAAAAGTATAAAGCTTCACGATTATTGGAATTTTCAATTACAAATCCTTCTAAGAGAAACATAAGCATCTTTATTATAGTGGTAAGTAGATGCTTCATAGTACGTACTAAATACGCAACCAAAGTGGAACACAATTTACAAATATGATACTAATTCATTAACGAAAAAAAACTATCTGGTTTCAACGAGTATGAAGAATTATACGAGCAGAAAATGCATTAACCTCAAACGTGATATTGGCACCAGAAGTTGTTGGCTGGCGTAGTGTCACCGAAGAAACCGATCCACTACCTCACATGATGCATAAACATCGCAGTCTCTGTCATGCAAATGCCAGTATTTTTGCCGCAATATCCTGTACACGACTTAGCAATTAATAATTACAACATAAAAAATACTATTGCAAATTGACGGAATATCGAATAAAATCGAGATAATTAATTAGGGAATGCAGCAAACGTACCTCTCCGACTCTAACGTGTAGTACATGTGGTGAAAATGGTAGTCCCGCTGACGCGTTCATCCATTCGCCTGATTAAAGATTGTTATTTTTTTTTTTTGTTAAAGTTCACATCTCATTGACAAAGGTTTCGAACTTACGATAACTAAAACGATACGAATACTGAAACATGCGCATTTAGAGGGAAACGGAAGGCAATATCCCCTAAAGACACGTACTTTCGACGACAAAAATCGCATTTTGAAAGAAAAAAACACATTAGGATTACTACAGTTCTAAGTCAATTTACTCTCGAACAAAACTTACCAAGAGGAGCGAGTTTTTGTTTCCACCATGTGCTAGGCAGCCGCCTCTTTCGTGCTCTCTCCCCCGAATATCCGCTCAGACGATGGAGTGGCGGCAGAAACAGGGGTCAGCCCTAACGACATATTACCTGCTCTATCGAGTACATATTTCCTGGGCCTACCCCTCATCTTCTTAACTGTTTGTGCACCCGAGCGGGACCCATTTGGCACTACAGCCATGCTACTAATTCCATGAGAAAAAATTGGCGACGGGTTCTCCACACGGAGTGCCGATGTGCTTCCAGCTCCTCCATTAATCCCTACATGGGGATGAAGTGAGAGGTTTGGATTTGTCAGATTCTTGAAAACAGGTGGCGCGTGCATCACACCACCACCACCACCGGAGCCCTGAATATTTGCGCTACGCCCCGAATTAACTGAACCAGCAGACCCTTCTCTAATAAACACAGTCTTCAAGCCCCTTTTACGGGGCAATTTGCAAATCTGAAACTGACCCATGTGAAATTGAAAACCAAAATAGCAGCACAACAAGCCCATGAGTTTGGACGGCCGGCAAAGAGGACGAGAGCAAAGATCACCACAGAGCTTTATTAGAACAATTAAAGCAAAAACACGTGAAAGAATTGAACGCGCATCGGACAGCGTTTACAGCAGCAGTATATGACAGCCCACAAATTGAAGATAGAGATGAGGAGGGCGGCGACGCATACTATTGGAGAAAAAAATCGGTGCGTGAGATAGGTGCATCGGGTGGAGCGGCGGCGGGCGGCTGACTAATCAACGGCGGAGGTCAACAATGGTTGGCCATGGTTAAGGGCGGAGGTGCCAAAGCGGCGTCGTTTCTCAGCAATCAGAATAAAAAAAAATCGAAAATCAAGCACACACCAGACGGTCGAGCAGCTTGGAAATTAAATGGAAAAGAAAATAACAACGAACGCTGATTGGTGGGGAAAAAAGAAACGACAGCGTTTTGACCTTAAATGGGGCAAAAAAAAAGGAGAAAGAAAAGGCAGTAAAAATAAAAGGCAGATCCCCATATATATATACTTAATATATATATATATATATATATATATATATATATATATATATAAATGTGTGTGTGTGTGTGTGTGTGTGTGTGAGAGAGAGAGAGAGAGAGAGAGAGAGCACTTGTTAATGGTGGTGTAAACCATGTTCAGCATTTCAACACCTGAAAATTCAATATTAGTTGTCACCACATTAAAAGAAAACATTTATCAAACATTTCCCAAAACAACATTTAGAAAAAAAAAAAAAAAAAGAAAAAAAAAAACCACACCAAACAATAATTTTTTTGTTTGCCATATTCCAACAATAGAGACACAACACACCATCTATTCTTTTTCAATCTGAATTGTGACATGACTGATATTGTACTCCCTCTTGATGTAATCAATGACTTTGTCGAGCGCCACGTCAGCATCGACATCGGGCTTAACTTTAACATGGCACGCCAACAACACTTTCCCGACAGTAATCGCCCATATATGCAACTCATGCACCGCGACAACCTCCTCCATCTCACAAAGACCCTTCTCGAGCCTCTTAGCATCAATCTCTCTCGGAGTGCTCTCCATAAGAACCTCTAGAATATTCCGGAGCATCCTAATAGTAGTGCCCAAAACAATCACGGAGAAAAGAAGCGTACATATCAAGTCAATAATCTTCCACTCCGGTTTGTACCATATCACAGCTCCACCAATCATAACACCAACGCTCTGTATCGAGTCCCCAAGCACATGAAGGTAAGCCCCTTGCACGTTTATATTCTTCGCCTTTTTCGTTTTCTTGTCTCCTTCTTTTGACTTTAGCAAAGGCTGATCATGGTCATGATCAGCATTGTCATGATCATGATCATGGTCAGCATGGTCGTGGCCATGGTCAGCATGACCATGACCATGACCATGATCATGGCCTAACAAGACAGCCATGATAATATTAACCAACAATCCAAAAGCGGAAACTAAAAACATCAAAAATCCTTGAACTTCGTCACCACTATTGTTCAATAATCGAACAATAGCTTCGTACACGAGGATTCCAGTGAGAAGCCATATCAGTTGGATCGAGACAAGGGCTCCCAAAATCTCGATCCTGTAAAAGCCATAGGATTGGCGCGGATTGGCCTCCCACCCTGCGGCCCACAACGAAAACAGAGAAATGGCGAAAGAGGCGACGTCGGATAGCAAATGAGCCGCGTCGGTCAATATGGCGAGACTATTGGCTTTGATTCCACCGACGATTTCGACACCCATGAAGAGGATGCACAATGCTACCGCGATCGAGAGTTTTCTCGAAGAGGACGAACGCTCTTGTGCATCTTTGGAACTGTTCTTAGAATCGGAGAAATCGCATAGTGTACCGGCCTCACAACCCTTTCGTCCACCGGAGGTGGATCCCCCCTCCGTACTTGGTACATGAGAATGGACCTCAATAACATGCCCTTGTTCTAAATTTTGCACTTCCATCTAGAGAGAGAGAGAGATATCAAAGCTTGGCAATAATTGGTTGATTATCAATGATTTTAGGGGTGGAATATATATAATAGAGAAAGTCAAAGAGTAAAATAGCAGTAATGGAAGGGAGCTATCTCTCCCTTCACAGCATAAAGTCAATGAATCTTGAACATGTTCGTTGCCAGGTGTTTTCTTGCCTGTTATTCATAAATCATAACTTATTTTATTAATGTCACGAGCCTTCAAAATATTTATTGGGGTAAATTACAACCACCCAGAAGGCATGATTAAATAAATAAATAAAAAAAAAAAACCCTTCTTGTTTGGGTAATTATAATCACCCCATCAACTATAAATCTTCTTATACGTCCATTCTTGTGGTTTCAAATTTAGTAGAATCTTCGAGATTATATGAAATATTGTCACTTTTGTACCCGTTTTATCTCATTCGAACTCCACATTTTGAAGCAAGATGATTATAATATGTGTTTTTTGGCTTGTATATATCAGATTATGGTGCATCTGAAACTGTATTTTTACACAAAACGAGTACAAACTAGAGCATATTCCACGAAATCTAGATGATTATGTTGAATTTGACACCATAAGGGTGGAGATGTAAGAAAAAATCATAATTGAGAGGATAGATGTAATAATCCAAACAAGATGGGGTTTTTCGTAAATGGGCCATACCTCAAGGGTGGTTACAATTTACCCATATTTATTATAATAAATTGTGCAAATTACGAAAAAAAACATTTTGGAGAGACTAATTAAAAATCATCCTCAATTAAATATTATTTTACACGTCCATTTCTACGGTTTCATAGGTACCTATTGAAGGATGAATTTTTTCGTAAAAAAACACATAGTTGAAGGACATTTATAACTACCATATAAGAATTTTCGTAACTTAATTTTACCCCAAAGTGTTAGTGATCGTAATTTGCTATAATAAATTAAAGGGTAAATTACAAACACCCCCCGAGGTATGGTCAAATTACAAAAACACCCCTCTTGTTTGGATAATTACAACCACCCCCTCAACTCCTCAAATTTAGTGGAATCTTCGAGATTATATGGAATATTATCACTTTTGTACCCGTTTTATCCCATTCAAACTCTACATTATGAAGCAAGATGATCATAATATGTGATTTTTAGCTTGTATATATCAGTTTGTGGTGCATCGGAAACTGTATTTTTACACAAAACGAGTACAAACTAGAGCACATTTTACGGAGTCTAGATGATTATGTTGAATTTGGCACCATAAGGGTGGAGGTGTAAGAAAAAATCATAGTTGAGGGGGGTAGATGTAATTATCCAAACAAGAGGGGGGTTTTTGTAATTTGACCATACCCCAGGGGGGTGTTTGTAATTTACCCTAAATTAAATTGAAGATGGTGCATCATAAATTGAGATTATGCCCATGGAACAAAAGCACGTGCCACCATATGGATGGCACACGCCTCCACACGCCTAGTTTGTGAGTTTTTCTTATAAATAAAATGAATTTCATTTTTTCCAAATGGCCAATAAATTTATTTGTTTTTATTTTTTAGCTGGTGCATTTAATTTTTTTTCTAAGCATAAAAAATATAATTTTCTTTCTTACTGGCTGAATTAGAAATTGAATAGTTTATAGGCTTTGACAATGTATTAGAGCATTTCTTTATGGTTTAAGCTCTTTAATGTGAAATTAATTAATATGATTTTGTTGAGGTAGATGAATTCAAATAGGGCGAACGGCCCAAATTACGAAAAAACCCTCACGTTTGAGTATTTATAATGGTGTCAAATTTAACTACTAGATGAAGGAGGTTTTCGTAAGAAAATATAAAGTTGAGGGGATGATTGTAATTATTCAAAAAATAATGTTTTTTTAATAATTTGACTTTACCCCAGGGACGTGAATGTAATTTGCCGATTAAAATAAGGAATATGTTAGTGATCATTGAGAAATTAGCAATTATTGAATGGAAGCATAGCAGTATGAATCATGCAACTAAGATTCAAAAAGTCAACACAATCCATTAGCAACATTTTATTTTTATTTTTTATTATGAATATTAATTTAAAAAGGACTATTTAAATATAGCAAGCAGGGGAAAAAGAAAAAAAAAATATACAGATCAATTTCAGCAATTATATAATTAATTTTTTAAAGATATATATATATTTTTTAATGCAGGGATTGTTATATAAGTTTATTTAATTCCTATTACCTCATACATATGAGATATTTTAAGTGGAGACTCCGTGGAAACGGGTCTGTTTTCCGACCGGAGCTCCATATTCACTGAACCGGTTCCCCAGCCAATTACACATTTCTGAACCTGAGTGATACTGAACCGGTTCACTAGTGCCAAACCAAGACTTTTATCAATTAGCATCCATTCACCTGACAATAAAATTTAAGCAAAAAACAAAATAAATAAATAAATAAATATGGTTAATATGCATCCATGACTGCATAAACTTTGTCTAGTAAGACCCTGTTCGGTTGCCGAGATAAGATTAGCCGAGATAAAATTAAACAATCTAATGAAGACTAAATTATTTTATCGGGTCTCCCGGGACGTCACATAATATTTGTGGGTCGACCTGACAAGTTATTTGGGATACCGAACATCAAACAAAGTTCTGTTATTTAATTAATCATGGCTAATCTCCCCAACCAAACGAGGCCTAAGTATTCACTACTCATCAGTCCAACTCGATTAATTTTAACAAGGTCTCGTCTGATTGCCATAATATGATTAGCCAAGATAAGAGACCAATTGTAGGAGTTCCGAAAAACAGTTTCCCAATAAACCACGATTTGAGCTCATTTTTCTCCAAAAGTCCGTTCCAATTATTTAATTAATCATGGTTAATCTTACTAACAAGTGCCCTTTATCTTAATCAGAGTATAAAATCAAACTTACCGTGTGGGCGAAGATCCCCTTCAAAAACATGTTCACTTGATTCTGGCCAAATCTCGTGTTTCGATCCATCAATAGCCGTAAAAGAGATGTACGATTGAGTAGGGTGCATCAAATTGAATTTCGGGTTCACTCGCAGGCACACAAGCCTTAACAAAAAGAAACACGAATAAAATGATCATATATTTTTGTGAAAGGAAAAAACAAAAGTTTAATTACATTACATGAGGCACTCTAAATATTCAAGAAAGAATGTTTAAATCAATAGTTACCTTGAAAATCCTCCCGATCCAGCACCAACTTCACGAGCTACAATGCCAGAGTCGATTCTGAAAACTTTCGTCTCATTTTTCGAGATGTACAGCTGGCGCTCGAGTACTAAACCACCTCCAATATCACATTCTAATTGTACTGATTCTGTTTCTCCTGCCTGCTGCAGATCTCGTCTGTGAAGTGACACAAATATATTTTATGGTTATGAAACTGATGCAACGATCATGCTATATAATCATACTATCGTCTTTAAACTCTTTGCAGTGCAATTTTCTAAAGAATCTAAATCGTCGCACCAAAAAGTGTAATTCGAGGGGGCCCACGTCATCTTTACACTTACTCAACAACGGAATATTCCTCCGAGCATCCAGCAGATCGGTGCTCCATCCCACTGTATTCCTCGTAGCCATCAACATCAACTCGACTGTGAAGCCATTGAGTTACTGTAAATATTATTTTATTAAAAGAATCACCAAAGGCCTTTTTTTTTTTACTTAAATTAAAATGAATGTAGAAGACTATTTATTACCTGAGGGAATGTGCTGCATAGAAATAATTCTTCCACCAATCCAAGGTACGATTTTTAGAACCCATTCCCCACTTTTTAATTCGACAGGTGTCCTTGATAATTCTGTTCCCTTGTGTCCAGAAATATTCTCCGTGTCCGGAATAATTTTAGCACTTTCTGGAAAAAAATAAAACAAAGCTAATTAATCTCCTTTCGATTTTACAAAACACTTTGTTAATAAAATAAATGTGCAGAAAAAAGTATAAAGGAAATAGCATATAAAGATAGAGCATATCACCTATTCGAATTCTGAGTTGCTTTTCAGCGGCCGTTACTAAATCCGACACCTCACTATCCGAAGGCATTGCAATTTGCAGAATCTCTCCATCGACACCCCATGCATCAATCTACACAATATCAAGATGCAAATTTTACTAAATGTAAAATTTATATTACGAATAATAAAAACCGTAAAGTAAATAGTTACACACCATCGCGCATTTTCCAATAAGTATTTGTACATTCAATTTACGGTTCGGCCTCTTTTTAGAGCCCTCGGTTCTTAAAACCTTCACGGTGACCATAGAAGATTCCCTTTCGGCTATATATGTCGTCAGAAGATATCCTCCTCTAGTGTATTCATATCCGTCACCATCGTCTTCGAATAAAACACCTTCCGCTTTACCTGCAAGTTTTAAAGATTCCATATGTATTGCTACTGATTCTAGCGACATAGATACTAAAATGCGAAAATAATAAAAATTACCGAGTTCATTTAGAGCAACCAGCAGTGATAAATCGTCCGTATGTTTTATTTCGTCAACACTTTGATAAAGAGGAGAAACGGGAATAATGGATCCTCCTTGAAGATATAATGCTGGCAAATCCTAGGGAAAAGTAAAGGCAAAAATTAATGTGTGATGTTGAATGTTCGAGAATTAGGAAAAAAATATTGAACTGAAATAATTATTAAAAAAAAATAGTACTGGATGAGTGTCTTCAAAATCAAAACCGAGCCAAATTCCTTTCGGCAACTTGTGCTGTACTTTATATAACTCATGATTTCTTCCCGTGCTTGCATATACGAGAACTGGTCCCAAGAGAAATGAGTTTTCATGTGTTCTTAGTTCCATATCTTTAGGATCTGAAGAAAAAAATAATTAAAATTTTATTACCTACAAAAACATTACGAAAATGCAATGTAGTTGATGCCGACTCCAATTTATATCATATAAAATAAATAAATTAAATGTACCGGCAAAAAATGTCGGAGTTGCCACTGGAATACCCCTCGTATGAGCCATATAAAAGAGAGTATATATGTGGTGTAAAAGCCTATACCTCCTCCTTAACGCCAGTCTGCAAACTTCTTCACACTGTAAATAAATCATGTAAGACGTGACTAAACTCAATAGTTCGATCTTTTTATTTATTTTTTAAATAAAAAAAAAAAATCACTAACCTCTTCACCAAAAGACCAAGGTTCGTGATCAATTGTATTAGTTTCGGAATGTCCACGACAAAAAGGAAACAAGGAGCCAACTCCCATCCACCTTCCGAAAAGCTTAGGTGTCGCATTACCAGCAAATCCACCAATATCGGGCCCGCACAGAGGTTGACCACTCAGCCCCTTTAGTCAAAGGTTAACCAAAAAATTATTAGCATAATTAACAGCATTCGCGGTAGAATTTATTGTGCATTAGAATATATAAAAAAAAAATAAGGCACTTACTAATTGAACAACCATGGAGATACTCATGTGGAGGTGCTCCCAAGTAGAAAGATTATCTCCTGTCCACGTGGCAGCGTACCGTTGGCTACCCACAAAACCAGCTCGAGTCAGAACAAAGGGGCGTTTTTGTCCATTCGCTAGCTTCATCCCTTCGTATGTAGATCTCGCCATCAGCATACCGTAAACCTGAAAAACATCAACAACGAGAAAAATAATTAGTACTACATAGTAACTTGTAAGCATCAAAATAAATAGCGAGGCTTTGCGGAAAACTAGTAAGTACGTTGTGATAGTGTGAATGGTTCTGAATGCCACCAATTTCCGAATCTCCCCTGTGAATATTGCTCTCGGGCATCGTCTTTGTTAGAGTCTGTGTAATAATTTAAGGTTAAGAAAAAAGAACCGAAACCTTTTTTTTTTACTAAAAAAGTGTTGTAACTAAACTTCACCTGGAAGACAGCTGGCTCATTCATATCATTCCATATACCATCAACACCATTAGAGATGAAGTCTTTGACTAGATTAGACCACCATGAACGAGCACTGGATTGCGTGAAATCGGGAAATACACAAGGCCCAGGCCACACATCACCTAAAAGTAGCAGCGGGTTTGGTTATGTTTTAATTTTGTAATTTTGTAATTATTTTTTTCCTGTGAGAGCATGAAAGACGAAAATGTACCAACAAAAGGTTTTCCATCAGCATTTTGTACCCATATATCTTTTTCGGAACCACTATCGTATACAAAATAGCCCTCTTCGTGTTTTATTCCTGGATCGAGCATCCAGATTGCTTTGAACCCATTTTTATGAAGATCGTCTACCAGAGATTTTGGGTCCGGAAACCTTTCCTGCAAATTATCACGACATATATCACTATAAGCCACTCCAATAAATTTGTGATACTGCTAAATACAAATTTCGTGAAACGTTAACCGGACGAAGACATGCCTGGTCAAAGGTGAAACAACGAAATCCATCCATGTAATCTATGTCCATCCATATGACATCACAAGGTATACCCTTTTCCCGGAACGTTCTCGCGATCTGCAAAATATAAGACAAACAAATGGCCAAGACAAGTATTAAAAATGACTTAATATACAAACAATGGAATTACAGAAAAAACAGAGATATAAGCAATTATGAAAGGTAATAACAGAATAAATGTTCAACCTCACGAACACGTGCATCGGAATCATAGCTCCAACGGCATTGATGATATCCCAAAGACCACATTGGTGGCATAAAAACAGTTCCTAATGACAAAACCCCAAAAATTTCAGAACTTCAATTATATATTACATAATGATTATAAAAAGGGCAAATTATGGCCACCCCCAAGGTATGCTCAAATTATGAAAAAAACCCTCATGTTTGGATAATTACAACCACCCCCCTCAGCTATATATTGTCTTCCACGTCCACCCTCACGGTGTTAAATTAACCAACTGAATGAGGGGTTTTCTCGTAAGACAATACATAGTTGAGGGGGGTAGTTGTAGTTATCCAAACTGAAAGATTTTTTTTTCGTAATTTGATCTTACCTTAGGTGGGTGGCCGTGATTTGCCCTTATAAAAAACTGAGTATCACTTGCCCTTTTTAAAAATGTAAATACTAAATAGAAACACAAAAGCATATTACCAACTGCTCGAGAGAAAGAGACAAGAACATCAGTTGGTGAAGCGAATGGACCAAATGTGATTACGGGATAAGCTGATGACGAAACGAACTTTATTTTCGATTCTTTCCGCAAATCAATCTGCTCGAACAATGACATGTCACTACAAAAGCCAACTCATCAAGCAACAAAAAAATCATTAAAAAAAATAAATCACAAGTACCTCACAACGTCTAGTTGTATCCGCAAGAACTCCGAAAGCCTCTCCATTTGGAAGAATCGCTAAAACCCAAGGGTGTGATTGGTACAATGAAGTTGTTCCAGATCCATATCCCCATGCATCCGTATTCCACGTAAAAATCTGTCACAAAATAATAATAATACTAAAATTAAATCGACCTCAAAATAACATATTACTAAAAATGACAGCAGATTGAATCTATGGGCTTACTCTCTTTCCTGTTCGCTCAAGTTGCCCGCTAACTTCTCCAGTTCCATAAAACGAGGTGTTCGGAGGAAACTGAACCACAACAGCCAAATTGAATCCAATCAATTGAAAACACTTAAACAAAAGTATATAGTAGTGCTAAACAGTATCACATTAATTACCTCTATATTAACTATTTGTTGTCCCAGTGAACATTCGAAAGTGGGAATATACGTCGGGACTTCATCGACATTCGCAAGAGGGGTATCTCTAACTTTCGGGTTTTGAAAAGAAATGCTTGGAAATGCAGCATTTCTATCATCTGCAGAACAGTCGAAGCGGAACACTCCTTCCTCGAGAATTGACTCAAAAATCATTTTCCCAATTCGTCCCTCCGAATCCGATGATTTCCCTTCTTCGTACCCAGCCATCTTAGATACCACCACGGACTTTTTATTGATCAACCACTTTTTAGCTTTTGACTTTCTATATGCCAAACAGTTATATCAGGAACCCCTCAAACATTATGATATAAAACAGACATGAATTAAACCAAGAATATGAAGATTTTTTTTTTTTGGGTAAATCACTGCCACCCCTGAGGTAAGGTTACAAAAAAACCCTTCATGTTTGGGTGATTACAAAACACTCCTCAACTATGAATCTTCTTACATGTCCACCCTTGCGGTGTTAAATTTAGTGGAATCTTCTAGATTATGAGGAATATTCTCCAGGTTGTACCCGTTTTACCCCATTCGAGCTCCACATTTTGAAAAAAGATGATCATACGATGTGTCTCTTGGCTTGTACATATCAGATTGTGGTTGTGGTGCATCACAAACTGCATTTTTGGACAAAACGAGTACAAACTAGAGATAATTCCACATAATCTACAAGATTATCTTGAATTTGACACCATAAAGGTGGATGTGTAAGAAGATTCATAGTTGATTATCCAAACATGAGGGGCTTTTTCGTAATCTACCCAAAAAGATTTGATCACAAGTAAAAAAAATGCAAATGTAAGACTATCTAACTAAGAATAAAACATTCCGAGAAACTCCACAAACATATTTCTTGGCACATTTTCCTTAGATTCAAAACAAATAAAGTATCAATGAATTTAAGAGTTTCTTGATACAAGTTATTCGATTCCCAAACAGGTAAAACTTATACCAGAGAAGCCCTTAGAACTAAAAGTGCTTTTTGAAACAAACTTATTCAAATTCAGATCAAAAGGGGAAAACAAATGCTGAAATCGAACTAAACCTGATCGTGTGAAGCAGAAAAGCTGTTGAATTGAAATGGCGCAGAGAAGTGAGTTTTCTCAGTGACCAATTTGAAGTTGTTGAAACACAACTGCAAGATGAGGCGGTAAAGCCGACGGATTGCTGCCTGTGTCATACATACATACATACATACATACATACATACATATACATCAAACAATCTCTGCTTAAATGCGGCGATTCCTTCAATTTTATTTACGAATTTTAAATTACTGAATTTTAATTTGGGAAAAGGAAAAGATTAATTTAATACATTACGCTGAATTGTTTGCCTGGCCGCGCGTGTTTGTCACTTATCTAGCGCCACCGTGAAATTTCCTCTACGATCGTGTGGCGTAGTGCTGATAGGTCACTCTTTCATAAAGTGTTCTAAAAATCGGCCGAGGCGGTCCAAAACCTTTACGATTTTAGTGTAAAGGTTTGAAAAATCAGTTTTTTTACCTGTGAGGCGGTTTTAGGCGAATCTGAGGCAGTCAAACATTTAAGGCGGGTCAAATTCCGTGTCAAAAATCGGTTTTGTTTTTCTTAGTTTTTTTTAATTCAAAATAAAAGTTGGATTTTAATAAAAGAAAATATGAGTTTATGCCTTATTTTGTTTATGTTAATTATTATTGTTAAAGAACTGAATAAATGTTAATTCAAAAATTTTGCTTTTTTATTTATATTTTATAAGGATATTTATGTATTATGATCTTATAACTATTAAACTTTTATTATGTTATTAGGATATATTCATGATGGAGATATAACTATGTTTAAATATCTTTTTATATATGTTTGGAGTATTTATAAATAATATTTAGAAATATATTATATTAAATTTTAAAAATCGATTTATTTCCGATTTATCACCGATTAATCGTGAGTCGGTGCCTGATCGACTCGAACCCGATTACCGCCTTTTACAACCTTGCTCTTTCTTCCTTTTAAATATTTTCAATAAAATTTAAATAATTCGGTTATTTATCGAACCAAATTTGTATATTAAGTTCGGTAAACAGTATAAAATGTTGGTGTACCTAAATTTCGGTTTGATTTTATCGAATTAACATCCCTAAATTTATCTTTGAAGGGATTTTTTCGTAAGATAATAATACACAGTTGAGGGGTTACTGTAATTACCCAAAACAGGACGGGAGTTTTTATAATTTGACCTTAACTCAGGACAGTAACCGTAATTTGCTCATACATATTTGGTTTCTAAACTCTAATGTATGATTTGTTGGAATAACAAAGTTACTTCCCAAAACATTCTTTTCCAAAACTAAATTAAAAAATTATATACATTGTTACATGCTTTTGATTGTAATAATGTAATATGTGAATGATCAACCTCTTAAATATTCATAAAAAATTATGTACTTATCCATTAAGTGATACGCGGTAATATACAATTCGGACTATTTTATCTAGGCTCAAAAACCCATTATGTACCCTTTAAAGGTCCATTATATAACTTCTAGAGGTCCAGTCAACTGTCCTCTCTTCTCTCTCTAGAGTTAATACAAATAAGGAGATAAGAAATGAGTGAAGGAGATTCACTAGAAAAATCACCACAAAACCACATAGAAGAAACACGCTACATCAAGAGCACATATTACATAAAAAAATACACATAAAATATGTACAAATGTACGAAATACGATGAGGAGGTCCAAACAGACTTCATCAATATATTTTTACGATATATATTATGATATAAGTTACAAATACATTAATTAAAAATGTTCATTCTTCTCCCTATATTGTTAAAATTAACACTTACTATCATCTCTCATGAGGTTTAAGTTCGTTTAAAGCCTAATCTTGTTTGATGTTAAATTCATATTATGAAAGAACAATTTGTTTTTTCAAGTTATAGCAATGTTGACTATCATGGCTATGTGTGGAATAGAATTGAAATTAACACTTTCTAGAAGTGAAACTAACTCCAACTCTATTCCAATTTTTTATTGTCGGAAAACTTAAAAATTGGAATTCTAAAAGTTGGAATGAACTTATTTTCTTCCGAAATCGAAAAAATTACGGAATGGAATTGCTGGAATTTGGAAATTTCGTTTCTTTGTAACATATACTATAGAATACATAATAAAATGATATTTAAAGTTTAATTTTTGGTTTTTTTTTTTTTTTGGAATTTTCGAAAATATTTTTAGAAATCAAAACGTACGGAAATTTCAAATCTAAATTTGTCTTCCAATGTTGTTCAAGAAATTAGAAAAAAAAAAACAAATTAGACAAATTGGAAGGATCGGAACTTCCGAAATTTGAAATAAAAATATTGTTCAAAAATTGAAATATTCAGATACGAAATAAGGGGATTATAGGCTATTAAGAGCATCTCCAACCGGACACCATAACACCATTTTTTCATCTAATTTAGGTGTTTTTAGCCTCCCACCCAAAATTCCTATATCACCATTACACCTAAAATTATAGAGATTTGGTTTTAGCCTCCAACCGTGGTCAACCCCCATATCACCAAATACCCAAATCCTATTTTTCCACCAAATTTTCTGGTGAAGAAATTTTCATCTCCCACCGGTCCACCATTTTCCTATTTTTTCCACCAAATCCTATTTTTCCTACCAAATATAGAAGTGAAAATAAAATTTGCCGTAATTAACACCATTTTATTAAGTACCATATAAAATGACGATTTTAACTAATTGCACCCGATTACCAACTTATTATCATGTTTATCGTAAATACATTGGTATTAATTATTAAATTAGTTTTTAAAATATAAATACATTTGTTATTATTAACAAAACATTAACTCTAAAAATATAAATATGCTTATTTTTAATTAATTTGTTTTTTTTGTTGGTATCAATGTTTATTAGTTCATTTCTTTAATTGATATTAATAAAATACGCTAATTGCTTAACTAATACGCTAAATGCTTAACTAATACGCTAATTGCTATTGATAAAATACAATAAGCAACAATAGAATGATTAATAAAACACACTTTAATTGATGAAATACAGGACGAGACATTTAAATTGAAATACATAGCTCATAAAATAACAAACAACATAACATGATAACAAAACAGGATAAACAATAATACAAATTATATAAATTTAAATCATAATAAACTGCTTATTTAAGTTCTCATGCCGTACTTAATAGTCTCTGCTGTCATAGTTGTTGTCGTTTGGAGATTCCGGGACATAAACATCTTCATCGGTTCCTCCACTTCCCCCTGCACTAAAATTTAAATTCCTAGCAGCCCTTGACCTGTTTCCATTGTCTATGATTTCTTGTTTCTTATCACTCCAGAATTGTTTGCTATAGGGTGTGAGATTACTCAAATCCTTACTCATAATATCCATATCATGTTCAAGAGCCTTTAATTTTATTTTTCTTTCTTTCATGTCTACTTTTTGTTGTTTAATGCTCACCAATAAATCTGCACGTGCTTCTTTTTTGTTTTGAATATTTAAGTACTCTTCATGTTGCTTTCGCATAAGAGGAGCGGCTCGATTCTGGAAGAAAGAAGACTTACACGAAGTCATGTTTGCATACATTATTCTGCACAATATGATAGTTGAGGAAGAACGCAATGGATATAGAAACGTTTATATTTTTGATGATACTCAATTTCCCACAAACCTTGACTATGAAAGTTCGTCCTCTATCCCGCCTGTTGAGCTTTTGAGAGATTTTAATAATACGGAATATGTTAGTTTTCTTGGTCGACATCGAAATCTGATAAATCAAGGAAAACACAATGAATTAAGAAGGAGACTGGTAGCACACTTGTGGGATAAACGTGCTCAAATCGGTGATGTTGAAGATTATGATGGTGATGATGATGATAAGAATGGTGAATGAGATTTTTTTTATGATTTCAAATTGATTTATGTTGTAATATTTTATTCATGCAATAATTTATGAGATTATTGTTTATGTATGATTTTATTATATTTAAAATAATTTGAGTTCATGTTATTTCATGTTTAGACAATTTTTTAAGATTAATAACATAATTTTTAAATTATTTAGTTGAGAAAATTTATTACTTAGCATTGGTTCTATAATTAATATTTAGGAAATACAATATTATAAAATTACGATTAACATTAGATTTATAGTTTTGGGGTATATATGGTGAAATGCCATTGGAGACCAAACCAAATTCCATTTCCTATAAGTGGTGAAATGGTGAAATATTATTATTTTAATATTTGGTCTAAATTTTGGTGATACCCATTGGAGACCAAAATCACCATTTTTCCACTAAAAATGGTGGAAGAGTAAAATGGTGTGCTACCGGTGGGAGATGAACCCATTTTTTCACCACCATAAATAGGATTTGGTGAAAAAATGGTGAAACCGGTTGGAGATGCTCTAAGTATGTAAACCGTAAGGTATTAGTAGTATGGGTTAAAGTACCAATAGCAAGTGGTCGATCTCGACCCAAAAGTGACACGGTCAATGAAAGATAGAAGTCAAAACCAAGACTTTCAAAAAACGGTAAATTACAACCATTCAAGAGATATAGTTAAATTACAAAAACTTCCTATTTGGGTAATTATAATCATTGTTCTCAACTATAAATCTTTTTACACGTTCACCCTTGCGGTTTCAAATTTAGTGGAATCTTCTAGATTATATAAAATATTATTACTTTTGTACCCGTCTTATCTCATTCGAGCTCCACATTTTGAAACAAGATGATCATAAGATGTGTTTTTTTAGCTTGTATATATCAGATTGTGGTGCATAAAAGTTCATATTTTTACACAAAATGAGTACAAACTAGAGCACATTCCACGAAATCTAGATGAATATGTTAAATTTCACACAATAGTAAGGTATAAGAAGATTCATAGTTGATGAATAAATATAATTATCCAAACAAGAGAATTTTTGTTTCGTAATTTGACCATACCAAATGAGTTGTTGTAATTTACCATTAAAAAAAAAGAAAAAAAAAAAGTCAAAACCAAGACATGTCATTGTCATTACTCATTATTACCTTATTGGTCTTATTGTTAAGTCTTAGTATATAAAAAGTGTCATTATTACATTCTTGGTCCTCTAGTTAAGTCGTAGCATATAAAAATAATCAATACGCTTGCCTATGGGTGCAAGTTGGAAATGAAATTCCAATTTTCGATTCGAAAAGCTTCAATTTTGGAATACACTTTTTTTTTTCGATTTTCAAAATTCAGGTTTTCGAATTTTTCCATTTTTTTTGGATTCAATTGGAAATATATAAAAAATTGGAAGTGTTGATTTCCGATCAATTTAGTTTCCGAAATTAATTCTGATTTTTTTTTATAAATAATATATATTAGATAATACTTGTTTTACATAATTGAAAATTAACTAAGGATTTGATTGTATTTATAATTTATGGGCATGTCAAAGATAAAGTCGAATGGATTGGATCGGAATAGCCTTTTTGAAAAATGATCAAAAAAGATTCGGAAGTACAAAATCAATTCTAATTCAAATTCCTAAATTTTCTGAATCTAAAACTTCATTCCAATTCCAAAAGGCCTGTAAGTTTCAAAATTTCGGAAAAGTTTCGGAAATCACATAAGTTTTATAATTTTCAAACTTAGCGGGAATTTCTGAAAATCTCATAATTTTCTATGATAAGAACATCCACGTCGATAAAAGTAAAACTAATAGCTATTAAATTTCATTCAAAAAAATTAAATAAAACTAAAAAAACATCATAATATCCAATAAAACTTCTACCAACAATTCATTATGTCAAAATTTTTAAAACAAAATTTAAATTAAACGTAAAAGAAACTAGAGTTTTACAGCAAAAAAAATAGGGGTGCATTTGGATGGAGGGATTTGGACGATGGATTTCAAATCAATAATAACAAATCTCTTGGACTTGTTAGGATTGAGGGATTTGGAAATGGATTTCAAATCCACGCCTCTTATTTTTAATTGATTTTGGATCAATTATGGTGGATTTCAAATGACTCTAAATTGAAATTATTTCTTCAAATCAAATCCTGCTCCAAACCCTTCCATTCAAATGGACTCTAGAGATTTTTTAGGTGCCTGACAAATATTACGGGGAGTATGGTTGTTAAATTATCGTAGTATAGGAGAGATAGGATGCCAACATTTTAAATATGTAGGGTATGGTTGCCAAATAACCATTCTTCAGAAGCATATTTGGTAGATACTAATTAGGGGTTTTTATGCATAAGTCAACCGTCTTTATAATTTTTGATTTGGGGGTAATATCTATTTTGCTAATAAGCTTATCCCTTTAATATATATTATAAATAAAATGCAAGTTAATGTATATGACAAAATTAACCTCAACCCTTTAAACTCAACTCCTAATTGTAACTCTAATTTCATCAATTTTGACCACAAAAATTCAATTTTGACTATTTTTTTTAAAACTTTTTGCTTGCGGTCGGTTTCTGGCATCGACTTTTTTTCTTTCCACCGCCGGTTTTCGGCGTTGATTTTTTTTTTAAATCTTTTTTTCCTCAATTTTTAATCTGTTTTTCTTAAGCACGTCGATGAACGTTGACCGTAATTATATTATCATCGAAAGTAATTGTGTTGTCGTTAACAGTACAATTACGTAACTGTAAACACAATAATATTACTGTCAACCACATCAATATTACTGTAAAACACCCCTCACATTTTAATATGCTCCAATTTTATCATTTAATTCAATTTAACCTCAATTTGACTCCAAATTTCATCAATTATTCAATTTTGACCTCCGACCCAAAATTGTAGCATATTAAAATGTGAGGAGTTAACATGACACTTTGGAAAAAAAAAATCACATCATTCAAAGTTAAATTCATACCATTAAGTTCATTAATGAGGGGGCAAGTTTTTTAGGCACTTAGTCGTAACTTTATACCAATTTACCATCCCGAAATCAGTTGAGCTATACCCATGCAGAACTGATCCGTAACCTGTGTGTATAAAATAGTTGCACATTACTAGAAGAAAATATGCTCTAACAATGGACACCATTTCTTCCTCTTTTACTCTCAAATCATCCCAATCAAGTAACAATCCCCATAATACTCTCTTTTCAACATTTTCTCCACTAAAGAAGCTAATACCACACACTAAAAAACTCCCCCTCAAGTACCACTTCATCACATCTTCACAAAAGAGACCACCACTACTTGCAACTTTTTTCAAGTCGATGGATGATTTTGTATGCACCTTCCTCGACCCACCGCTCCGCCCTTCCATCGATCCGAAACACGTACTTTCTGGCAACTTCGCCCCCGTGGACGAGCTACCCCCCACCGCATGCGCTGTGGTGGAGGGCTCCCTCCCGCCTTGCCTCCTCGGCGGGGCTTACATCCGCAACGGCCCAAATCCCCGTTTCGCCCCCTGTGGACCCCACCATCTATTCGATGGAGACGGGATGCTCCACGTCATCACATTCACGTCCCCGGACGAGCCCACATTTTGTAGCCGCTACGTCAAGACTTACAAATACACAGTGGAGCAAAAAACGGGGCACCCTATCTTCCCGAGTGTCTTCTCCTCCTTCAACGGCCTTGCAGCCTCCATTTTACGCGGTTTACTAACCGTTGCACGAGTAGTCACTCGGCAGTTTGATCCTGTGGCTAACGGCTTTGGCCTGGCCAGCATAAACGTGGCTCTCATCGGAGGGCATCTCTTTGCTTTAGGAGAGTCTGATCTTCCCTACGCGATGAAAGTGACACCGAACGGCGATGTAATCACCCTCGGCCGCCACGATTTCTTCTCCGACGAGCCGTTCTCGATTATGACAGCTCATCCGAAGATGGACCCACAAACAGGGGAAGCCTTCTCTTTCAGATACCACGTGATTCCTCCTTTCTTGACCCTTTTCATAATCGACCCAAACGGGAAAAAACAACGCGATGTGCCCATCTTCTCCATGAGGAGCACATCATTGACTCATGATTTGGCCGTCACAAGAAACTATGTTGTAATACCCGATATTCAACTCGTGATGGACTTTATGGAGATCGCAAAAGGAAGGCCACCGGCGAGAGTTGACTTGGATAAGGTGCCGAGAATCGGAGTTATCCCGAAATACGCGGAGGATGAAAGTGAACTTGTGTGGATTGAGGCACATGGATTGAACGTTATTCACTTTTCGAATGCTTGGGAAGAAGACGGTGGTGAGACGATTGTGATGGTGGCACCTAACCCGACATTCGTCGAGCATGCACTTGACAGGCTCGATTTGGCCCGCCCGATAATTGAGAAGATTGTGATTAATGTCAAGGCCAAGACCTTGGTTAGACATCCCTTGTCCAATCAAGTTCTAGACATGGGGATCATCAATCCAACTTATGCAGGGAAAAAGAACAGGTAATGCAATTTGGAATTACTTTGAATAAACATGCAAAATATGGAAAACTGTATTTCTTGACACACACACACACACATATATATATATATATACATATACATATACATACAAAGTGTCATACAAAGTGAGAGCTGTCCAAAGGTGGCCTAGTTGGTAAAGTCATGAAAACTAAAGAAATATATAGACTAACTATGCTGAATATATTACTTACGTGTATAGATATGTATATGCGGGAATAGTAGCTCAACCAATGATGTTGGTCGGAGTGGTGAAGATAGACCTGTCAGCGGAAGATTCCGTCAGTGGCGGCGGGACGGTGGCTAGCCGCCTATACAGGCCGGGCTGCAGCGGTAGCGAGCTATCCTTTGTGCCGAGGGAACCGGGTAATCCAGCTGCAGAGGAAGACGATGGTTATTTAGTTACGTACGTGCATGATGAGAATACTCAAGAATCCCATTTCATAGTAATGGACGCTAAATCGCCAACTCTCGAAACTGTTGCTGCTGTGAAGTTACCTGGTAGAGTGCCCACGGGCTTCCATGGCCTCTTTATAAAGGAAAGTGATCTCAACAAACTATGAGAATATCTTTTAAATGAGATCATATTTCATTATTACAAGAACAAGCAATGTCATGTCAAATGTCGAGTATTTTTATATTTGAAGAAACAAGTCGAAGATTTATTCGAAACTTGATTCTGCATTGATCATCTTATGTGATGACGGATACTCTGATAATGGATAAGGAATAAATTGCAGGAAGTTGAAGTACGCGTATTAGAAAACATGAAGAAAATATATATACATATATACATATAGTTGACGGAGGTTTAAATGGCGGTACAACAGTTTACAGCAATGGTGAGTCCCGGTTTTTCATATGGGATTTGTCGAACATGATGAAACCACATGCTGGCCTGCACAAACGTTGAGAACCCCATTACGGTTAATTAGCCCTTATCGAACTGCACAAAAAATTGAGATTTTAGAATTCAAACAATGAGAAATGGGAAATAGAAAAGACGAGGCCAAGACAACAATTTCATCCCATCATCGAAACTACTTGTTATACATTCCAATAACCAAATATCATGTTTGTGTATTCAAAACACATAGAATTAAACAAGACAAGACAAGTTTTAAAAGATTATCACGGCGCAGAAAATAAATACATTATGCATCTAATCTAATGACAAAAACTAAGCTTCAAAATAACATACAGTAGAATCTATCGAGGTTATCCAATTCGAGAAAAAATACTTAATATACAAACCATGGAATTATAGAAAAAACAGGAGTAAATTGCAAATACCACCCCTGTGAAATCTCTAATTGTCAAATACCCCCCTGTCAAAAAATAATTCACGCATACCCCCCTGTGAAAACAAAGTCAAGGCATTGAGGCCCCTGAGAGCAAATCGTGTCTCTCACGCGCTGGTGCTGCGATTTTTTCTTAATTTTCAATTGTGAAATGTCAAAAATGTCCCCAAGCCCCTTCTCCCTCCCTGTTCTTCATTGTCCATGGTCCCCAACATGTACCATTCTGCATTCTCCATCATCCCAACATGTCGAACAGTCTCATCATTCGAAGCTATCTCCATCTGTCAAGGAGAAGGCATGGTACCTCGACCCAGCTGGGCAAGGGACTGCTACTGCAAAAGAATAACTCATTGGCTTGCGTTAGACCGAACTCCATTCGTAAATTTCAACGGGATCCGTTAGCAGGTGCCCCAGACTTCTGCCTTTTTCTTCTGATGTGGGCGGTTGTTTTTACCCGTGAACTACTAGGAGCATATTAATGAAGAGATGGTATAACAAAACTCCTTCTTGACGGTCGCGAAATTACTCCGCTACAACTCCTTTATGGGCCTCCATTTTCGCCGCCCTGGTCTTCATAATTTTCGGCCCTCCCCCGCCCACTGCTGCACCTCCGCCGCGAAATGGGCCACCCTCAATTGGGAGAAGCGAGTTCAAACCTCGGCCCATCCCCACTCCAAATCTCCCTTCTACTTCCACAACAACATCGCCGGATCCGCCGCCATTTTTAGACCTGCAAAAACGCATTCCATAGCCACTTCATCAGAAATCGACAAAATCGATTAAGCCGCCACCAAAAAAAAATCCGAGCTTGAAGAAGCCTAAACAATTGATGGATGTTTAACAAAATTCCAATTTGGCCTCATAAATTATTATAATTTGATGTTATACCACTTAGGGGTATACTTGTCTTTTTACCTTCAGTCAACCATTAAAATGCTAATAGGTGCTGTGAGCTTCGAAAAATATTACATAGGGGGGTATGAGCGAATTTTTTTTTGATAGGGGGTTATTTGATAATTAGAGATTTCACAGGGGTGGTATTTGCAATTTACTCGAAAAAACAGAGATACAGTAGAACCTCGATAAATTAATAACCTCGCTTAAATAATAATTTCTTCCGGTCCCAACGCGGTAAAAACGTACTAAATTATTAGCTCGATAATTTAATATTTCACTAAATTAATAGAATTTCGTTAGTCTCGACTGTATTAATTTATAGAGGTTTAACAAATAAATGTTGCAGCAGAATAGCTCCAACGGCATTGATGATACCCCAAAGACCACATCGGTGGCATAAAAACAGTTCCACGACAAAACCCCAAAAAATTCAGAACTTCAATTACATATTAGTTATTACATAATGATTATAAAAAACCGAGCTTCACTTGCCGTTTAAAAAAAATTAAATATTATAAATAGAAACACAAAAGCATATTACCAACTGCTCGTGAGAGAGACAAGAAAACCAGTCAGTGAAGCAAATGGACCAAATGTGACGACAGGATAGGCTGATTACGAGAGAAATTTTATATTTGATTCTTGCCGCAAGTCAATCTGCTCGAACAATGACAGGTCACTACAAAAGCCAGCTCATCAAGCAACACAAAAATCGTAAAAAAAAATAAATAACAAAAGATCGATCACAAGTACCTCACAACATCTAGTTGTATCCGCAAGAACTCCGAAAGCCTCTCCATTTGGAAGAACCGCTAAAACCCAAGGGTGTGATTGGTACAATGAAGTTGTTCCTGATCCATATCCCCATGCATCCGTATTCCACGTACATATCTGTCGCAAAATAATACTAATAATAAAATTAAATCGACCTCAAAATAGCATATTACTAAAAACGACAGCAAATTGAATCAACGGGCTTACCCTCTTTCCTGTTCGCTCAAGTTGCCTGCTAACTTCTCCAGTTCCATAAAACGAGGTGTTCAGAGGAAACTAAACCATAACAACCAAATTGAATCCAAATCAAATAAATGACTGAAACAAAAGTATATAGTGCTAAACCGTATCACATTAATTACCTCTATATTAACTATTTGTTGTCCCAACGAGCATTCAAAAGTGGGAATATACGTCGGAATTTCATCGACATTCGCAAGAGGGGTATCTCTAACTTTCGGATTCTGAAAAGAAATGCTCGGAAATGCAGCATTTCTATCGTCTGCAGAACAGTCGAACCGGAACACACCTTCCTCGAGAATTGACTCGAAAATCATTTTCCCAAATTGCCCCTCCAAATCCAACGATTTCCCTTCGTCCCCACCCATCTTAGATACTACTACCGATTTCTTATCGATCAACCACTTTTTAGCTTTCGAATTTCTATATGCCAAACAATTATCAATGAATTAGAAGTAAATTCGATCCCAATTAAACAGCTAAAAATTATACCAGAGAAGCAAAGAAATATAAGAATCCCTAATACGTACTTTTTGAAATAAACTTATTCAATTCAGATCAAAAAGGGGAAAGAAAATGCTGAAATCGAACTAACCTGATCGAGTGAAGAAGAACAGATGTTGAATTAAAACGACGCCGGGGAGTGAGTTTTCTCAGTGACGGCGACCAATCTGAAGTTGTTAAAATACAACTGCAAGATGCCTGTGTCAATACATACACACATACATACAATATACGTACGTATACATCAAACAATCTGCTTCAATGCGACGATTTCCTTCAATTTATTTACAAATTTTAAATTACTGAATAAGTAGGGGAGAAAAAAGAGATTAATTTTAATACATTATTACGCTGAATTATTTGCCTGAAATCGGGTGGAGATTCTTCCCATTGCCGGCCGCGCGTGTTTGTCACTTAATTAGCGCCACCAAGAAATTTTCTGTACTTTTAATGGACCTTCTAATTACCTTTTTGCCATTGAACTCACCTGCGTTTGGTTGCAACATCTGAACGAGTCCAAAAACCTCTTAATTATTTATCAAAAAAATCTCACGTGAGGTTTAAATTCGATTAAAGTCTCGTATGGTTTATGTCTCTCGTATGATTTGCAAACTATTATATGAGAATGTCGGTCTAGTCAGTACACGTATATGATTGGCAGCTGATTCTATCATCGTAAAAAAAAAAAAGTTTATTGCATGATTTTGTTTGAAAAAATTCAGATTAAGATGTAAAAGAACAACAAATTTTTAAGTTAGGGTAATCGAATCACGTTCCTACAAGATTCTATTATCAATGTTGACAATCTCATGCACAATCGGATTGAAATTAAACTTTCTAATTTCAACTCTTCTTTCGTTTTTTTTCTCTTTCAGAAAAATTCGTAAGTCGAAATTTTAAAAGGTGAATTGAACTTCTTTTCTTCCAAACTCCAAACTTTCGAATTGAAATCGACCGAATTTGGAAATTACATTTTGCTTGTAACATGTAATATAAAGTACATAATAAAATCGACATTTTTTTTTTCGAAAATTCTGAAATACTTTCAGAAATTAAAATGGATCTAAATTTCAAATTCAAATTTGTAATCGAAAATATTTTTTTGGCAAAATCAAAACTTTTGAAATGAGAAAAAAAAAATATTGTTCCAAAATCGAAACATTCGTATTGGATTATGGGCTATTAAATATTGGGCTTGGACTAATTTCCAAAACAATTTTCTTCCCTATAAAAAGTTTCAAAATTCATTTCTTCCCTCCTCCGACAAAACCATCGCCGCCGTCCGCCGCCCTTACCCACCCAAAACAGCCTCGATCACTGCTCCTCCACCACCACTAACAACAAAACCCCCAATTTTTATCCCTCCATTTCACAATCTTCAACAAACAAAGCAGAAAGAACTGATTTGATTCCTTAATTACAAACTTACACGTTTATTAAAATGACGAGTAATATCCTTGA